AGAAGAAATAGTTACGGCTATCAAGATACTACCAACAAAAAAAATCTCCTGGACCAGACGGCTTCACAGGAGAATTCTACCAAGCATTCAGGGAAAAGCTATCACTGATCCTCTACAAATTATTCCAGATCATAGATAAAGGTGGCAAACTCCCAAACTCATTCTACGGAGTCAGTATAACTTTGATACGCAAATAGGGCAAGGATCTCACAGGAATAAAGTACTACAGACCAATATCCCTAGTGAACATACATGCAAAAATCCTTAACAAAATATTGGCCAATAGAATATGAAAGTATATAAAACATATCATCCGCCATGTTCAGGTGGGATTCATTCATGGATGTAGGGATGATTTAACCTCTGAAAATCCATCAATATTATTCACCGCATATATAAGAAAAAGGATAAAAATCACATGATAATATCGATACACAGAAAAAAGCATTTGACAACATCCAACAATCATTCCTAATTAAGACACTCAAGAAGATGGGAATGGAATGAAAATTCCTCAGGTTAATACAAGCTATCTATGAACAGTCAGCATCATAGTCAATGGAGAAAAGATGAAAACAATCCCACTGAAAAAGGAGACCAGACAAAGATGGCCTTTGACCCCACTTCTATTCAACATTGTACTGGTGGTCCTAGTTAACAACATATGAAGGCAAAGGGCATTAAACATGTCCAACTGGGAGAGGAGGAGCAGGCTATTTGCAGATGACATGATTCTGTACATTAAAAATCCCAAACTCCTCAACAGGAGTATTGACAGCAATAGAGGAATATGGAAGAGTGCAGGATAAAAGATCAACAAACAGAAGTCTATTGGGTTGCTATATACATCATAAAAGACCATTGAAGAGGATATCAAGAAGGCAACACCCTTCACAATAGCCTAGAACAAATAGAAATATCTAGGGACATATTTAACAAAACAAAAAAAACCCCAAAAGACATATACAAAGCAACCTCCACTAACAGAAGACTCAATATAGTAAAGATGTCAATCTTACCCAAAGCACTATATAAGTTTAAGGCTATCACAATTCAAATACCAACAACCTGTGGGGGTAGGGCCAGCCCCCCACAACTAATCGCAGGTTGGATAGGCGGAATTGTATGGTTGATACATATAAAAATTATAATAAAGTCATAGAGAGCATGAGAGATAAAAGAGAGATTGAAATAATGGAGTCAGACACATTTCCTGGTAGCATGCTCACCTCAGCCCCGCTTGGTGGTCCACATGGAGAGAGAGAGAGGGGAAGGAGGACAAGAGGGAAGGGAAGAGGGGAGAGAGTGCCGGAGAGGAGAGGGAGCCAACAAGAGGCCAAGGGGGAGCCAGAGAGAGCTCTTTATTGCTAACCCAGCCTATCTACCATTGGGGGAGGGTGCAAGCCCCCTAATTACGGGTAAAGACATACGTCACAGGAAGGGGTTGTACTATAGGTTATACAGCAAGGAGAGGGGGACAATCTAGGGGTACACACACAGTAGGAAGAGGAGGGAATGGGGCCACACATGTGACAAGAAGGGCAGATCTTAGATTCTGGATGGCAGCCTAATTTTGGATGTCACTGAGCTGGTTTAGCCTGTTCTCTGAATCTCCATAGAAACCATTATCAGTAGGGTGTAAACCCACCCTGCAAGGACCAAACTGATGGCCGAGAGTCTTTAGGGAGAAGTATCCCATTGTCCTTAACAGCAGGGAGCGGGCCCTACCTGTTGTGGGACCAGTCAATAGTCTGGCAACTGACTGCCTTCAGGGAGGATGTCTCTAAGCATCTGACCTCCCAGCATATGCTGGTAAACAGCCTCTAATGTTTGGCATATTTTGTGGGGAGAGGAAGCAGGGGAAGTCTCTTTATAATCCCACAACAACCTTCTTCATAGAATTGGAAAAACGGATCACCAATTTCTTATGGAGAGTGATGAAGCCTAGAATTAGGGGAACAACTAGGGAATTAAAATCAACAATGAGGAGGACATAGAGATGCTGAGGGGTGTTAGAGTAACAGCAATCCAGCTAAGAGGAATTACTAAGAGGCAGATGTAGGGCAAGCGTGATGGTGGGGCAGGAGGAAGGTCAAAGGAAACAGAGGAAAGATCTAGGAAGCAAAGCTATGG